AACTAATCTGTTTTCATGCAACCTAAAGAAATGTTACAATTTATAGAAACAAAAGTCAGGAAATATATGTATGTAAATACAGCCAGGCTGTGTTTACCAGAATTATGTTAAAATTCCGGTTTTTCAACCTTTGTGATTGCCCGCCAGGGATTTGGGGACAGTTTCTCAGCTTCCATTGTCAGCATGAGATAGCTGAGATGGAAACCAGGAAATGTGGAAGAAAAAAACAATTTAGGGCTTTTAATTCAAAGTAGCCCCTTTACAATAATTCAGTATTTCTATTAAAATAGTTATAATTCCTCTAGAAAGATTTTTTTTTTTTTATTATTGGTTGCTTAGAAAACTGCTTGGAGATGAGAGGTAAATGTGATTTTTTCCCCCTTCAACTCTACACATCTGTGACTACTTTTTTTTTTTTTTTGAGAGAGAATTTTAATATTTATTTTTTAGTTTTCGGCAGATACAACATCTTTGTTTGTAATGTGGTGCTGAGGATCGAACCGGGCTGCACCCATGCACACTACCGCTTGAGCCACATCCCCAGCCATGTGACTACTTTTTAATAATGTCAAATTTGCATGGTCTGGAACATAAATCAAACAAATTCTGTAGTATTACAGTTGCAGGAATTTTAAAATGCCATTTGGTTCTAGATATGTAATATACTGATACACTGGAAATATGACTTTATCTTTTTTTCCTTTTTTGTGCTATTGAGGATCAAACCCAGAGTCTTATGCATGCTAGGTGAACACTCTACCACTGAGCTACACTCCCAACCCTGGGAATTCTAGTTTTTAACATGCAGTTTTTAGCCTTGGTATTAATTTTAACTTTTGTTTATCAAAATAGCTAAGTGAAGTATAGTCGAATAGCAGCAAAACACTGAATTTGTTTGGATATTCTAAGAAATGGAGTTAAGAAAATGGTGTCGTTAATAGTTGAAAATTGAATGCATTTGTGCCATTAAGATACTGTTAGTGAGCTGGGCAAGGCGGTGCACTCCTGTAATCCCAGCAGCTCTGGAGGCTGAGATAGAAGGATCTCATTCAAAGCCAGCCTCGGCAACTTAGTGAGGCCTTAAGCAACTCGGTGAGACTAAAGAAAGTCAAAATAGGGCTGGGGGTGTAAATGGCTGAGTGCCCTTGAATTCATTCCCCAGTATGAAAAAAAAAAAAAAAGATACTATTAGTGTACTCCAATGCCTTGGAATAATATGAGTATCTTTTCATTCAAGCTTTTATCATAATTACCTATTCTTATACAAGCACCATATTTTCTTAGAACTTCTCAAGTTCTCATTATTCTAGTTCCTAAACAGGCTTTTTTTTTTCTTATCTAATGTCCAAAAACTGGAATGCTAAAGGGTTCAATCTGGGGCCCTCTTATCTTCACAGCAGTATAATTCCTTTAAGAGACCTTATGTAATGCCATGACTTTAAATATCATCTATATACTAATAACTCCATAATTTGTGTCTCCAACCCTGATTTCTGCCTTTCATTCCAAACTCATAGATTAACTGTTTACTGGCATCTCTCCCTAGATGTCTATTATTTCAAAGTAAATGTCCAAAGTAAAATAATACAATTACTCTAGATTAATTGTCCTTAATATAAGACAGAGGGCAGTAATCACTTAGTGTTTGGAAATATGGATGGGATTTTTCATTGCCATAGTGACAAGAGTGCTACTTTTTTTTTTTCTCAGCATATTACACGTGAATTTCATCAACCTCAATGCATGCAGATCTAGTATAATATTGCATTGTTTATGCCACAATTTAGTTACCCATTCTTTTGAGTAGATATTTAGTTGATTTTCAGTTGCTTGGATTTACACATCATGCTGCGATGAATATTTTTGAATATGTTTTCTTGTTCAGAGGTTAGAAATTTCCCCAAAATATATTCTGAAGAGTGGACTTGCTAGCCATCCACAATGCACATCTTATATATTAGCAGATTTTATCAAATTGTCCTCTAAAATGATTGTTCTAAATGTATACTGAGATACTTTTGGTATATTGACCTACAAACTTATGCTATGAGAGAGATGTCTAGCAGCATAAGAGTCTTTTCCTAGGTGCTTTAACTGGTAGGTTGAGTTTCCTGGTATGTTACCAGCAGCTATTGTCCCAAAAGGTGGTCTCCTGGAGACCAAGACAAGAAAGAGAGGGAGAGCAAAGGACCAGTGACCTGATAAGACACTAAATGTTCCTAAGTGTTATTTGTTTACAATAACATTTCTTTGTAGTCTTTGTGGAGCATGAAAGAGTTACATTTGTTTAGGTGACTGTCTCTAGGCAATCTCCTCCCCTACCTACTCCCAGTGTCAGGCCCCCTATCAGACATCAGTAGGTATGTAATCAACAATTTGCTTGCTCACTCCTGGGGAAGAGGCTTGGCTGCTGCATCTGTCTGGTGGCTCCCAGAGGAATCACCACTGATATCTCTGTTCCCTCTAGCACCCCTAAGGGGTCCTCTGGACTGAAAAGCCAGGCTTGAGCCAAAACCGGGTCCTCAAGGGCTTGGAGGCACTGCAGGCTGGGAGTAGCCCCAGGGCATGTTGGTGGCAGCCATCAAGCTTTACATCCTGCACAATACCCCACAGTAGATGTCTTTCACTTCAAGTACCTGCTGAAGCAGGTCCTGGCAACTGCTGGTGAAGAGGATTGCTCACCAGGCCTGTTAACTCCAGGGGCAAAGGGGCCACTGTCTCTTCAAATTAGTTCCCAAGCACAAGAGGAAAATCTGGCCTGGGAAGACACCCACCCTAAAGGCCCCCAGGAGAGCCAGGAAAGCTCCTGGGAAAGGCTCAAGAATCCAAGCAAGGCACAGAAGGAACCTGCCAGCTCTGGCAAGGTAGAGAAGGCAGCAAACATGCTGGGTGAGGGGAGGAAGGCTCCTCCCAGACCAGCTGCTGCCAACCAAAAGATCCTCAAGAGAGGCCACTCAGGCCCCTTCCTGTGCCAATGGATCAGTAAGAAGTCAAAGGTCAAAGAAAGGCAAGAGTAGTGGGCAAGTAGATACAGAGGCCCGTGGGAAATCAAAAATGAAGAATGAGATTTCAAAACCTGTAACTAAGCAGGTCAAGAATGGAGTTGCTTCCCCAACCAAAAGGAAGATGGCTGCCAAGGCCCCTAAAGAGAGAGCTTGCCAGGGGGCTGGAGAGAAGCCAAGAACGAAAGCAGCAGCTGCTCCTCCTAAGGGTGACAGGTCCAAGGCAGTCCTCATACCTCCGGCCATGGAGACAGAGGCTGCCCATGAAGTCCTCATCCTCCAAAGTATGCAGCAAGAAGGTAGAGGCTGAGAGCTAGAGGCCCTGGGTGGACAGAGATGGTGATTTTGCCGGAGTTTTTATTCCCTGACAAGCCATTACTCAATTTATTTATCAATAAAGACTTCATTTTCTTTTTCCTTAAACACAAAAGATAACAATTTGCTCAATGGATGAATGGGAATACCCTGACGCTCATATGATTAGTTCTGTTAAATACCTTTATTCTCACTGATTTGGTCTAAAGGATAATTGAGATTTCAATTGTGGTTAGCACAAAGTAGGGGCTAGAAAAATATAGAGTGAGTAAAAGAGAATCTAATTCATCTGAAATTAAACTACCTGAGCACAATGCTACTAAATATCCCGCCTTTGGCCCAATGTAATGGTCCTTATTCAATCTATAACTGCATTTTTTCCCAAATAAATAATATTTGATCTGTTTGGGATCACTGAAAATCCCTGAAATAATTTGACAGGATTTTTCACCAATGGCATTAAATATTTTCAAAAAAATTGAGGAAAAAATAAAAGATGGTCTCACCACAGGAAAGGGGATAACTGCTTTAAATTAAATGAGTAGCAGGGAGCGGTAATTCATGCCTGTTATAGCAGCAAATCGGTTGGCCGAGGTAGGAGGATTGCAAATTCCAAGCCAGCCTCAGCAACTCAGTGAAACTCTGTCTCAAAATAAAAATAAAGGGCTGGTGTTATAGCTCAGTGGTAGAGTGCTTCTGGGTTCACTCCCCAGGACCTGGGGTGGGGGGAAGTAAATGACTAAAATTTTGGAAAAGGTACACTAATAGGGAATGCCTCTAGCATAAACAATAATCAGTAGTGTTAGGGTAGGTGGCACAAATATCCATGGGAGACACTCTCTGAGTTCAAGCAAAGGTTTACTGACAGAGAATATTTGCCAGGCTACCTTCTCCAAGGCACAGCAAACTGCTGGAAAAAACTTCTTAACTATATAGTCAAATACAATGGAGTAGTTAAAAAATAATCCATCTGGTTCTGTGATTGTTAGGGACTCTTTCAGGGGTCGGCCTAACAGGGAAGGTCATGCCTGGGTGGGCAAGTGCTAATTTTCAAAATGGAGTTACTTCAGCCTAGGGACCTAACAACTAGATAGCCTTTTATTATTATTATTATTTTGGTACTGGGGATTGAACCCAGGGCCTTATGCATACGAAGCAAGCACTCTACCAACTGAGCTATCTCCCCAACCAACAGGCCCTACTTTTTACAGGAGGGACAAAGAAGTTGACTGGCCCACAGTCGCACAGTTTTTACACAGGACCGATATTTGAAAGCAGACAGTCTGATTCCAGAGCCTCAGCACACACACACTCCATTGTTTTCTCAACTCCAGGATTCCACAAATCTTTGATTTTTAGAATTTTCGCTTACACGATGTAATTTAGATATATATTAAAACAAGTTTTTTGAAAAAAATTAAAAGGCAAACGCTTCAAATGAATAGACAGCCAGAGGAAAGGCTGGGATACAAATGCCATCCATAAATATTTAAACGTTTACCCCAACACGAACTACCAGTTATCCCTCAACACCCTGCGGAACGTTTTATCCCAATCTCCTTGGAGTGAGGGCGGGACTTTGCGGGCCGTGGGAGCCTGTGACAGTAGCGCATGCTCAGAGCGACGGCTCTAGCTCGCCCGAGGCCACGCCCACTCGGCCCGCAAGGGCTGCCGGGACGGCTCCCATCTTTGAGCGCTTTGAGCCAGCCGGCGGCGCTGCGAAGTGGAGACGTTCGGTCGTTGTTAGTGATCCTGTGGCGCGCTTACGGGGCCCGGACCTTAAAGGTGAGCTTTTCGATAGCTAATGGGAAGGTAAAAAAGAACCTGCATTGCGTGATGCACGACGGCGCGTCCTCCTTCCTTGCTGCCGCCCGCGGGACGCATGTACACCTCGCCTACTGCACGTTCGGGCGGAGCGCCGCGTGGGCCGCAGCCGGAGGCGGCGTGCTGTGCTACGGGTCGAGGGGGCGCGGGCCGCGACTAGGTTACCCTGCCGGCCCGGGCGAGGAATGCGGGCGCCTGGGGTTCCCCACGTGCCCAGGGGAGCCAGTGTTCCCGGGAGACGCGACTCTGGTGAGGTCTTTGAGTAGAGGCTACCCGCATCCTCCCTGCGTTCTTTCGGTTTCTTATCTCCACCAGTTCTCAGTCCTGCCCAAGGCTGATGCTTCAGCCACCTCTGTAAATTTCTGGGTAGGTCGGTGCTGGGTAAAACACCAAAGGGTTCCATGGAGTCTGTGGGGACTGACTGGAAGCCAAAGAAGTTGGGGCCGCAGATGTAGCCTCGACCTGTGTCTCTTGGGCTTTAGGATCCTCCTTCCTTCCCAACAGAGCTGCTTCTGTGTGAAATGGGAGAGCGTGGGTAGTATCTCAGTTCTAGTTGTATGTTCTGGAAAAGTAGATCTGATGAAACGAAGTTCCACAATTGGGTAGGCCAAAGTAGCCTTGCAGGGACTAAATAAGTTCTTTTATCTCATCGTTTGCTTTTTTGAGAGGCCCTAGATCACGGTAATGTTAGTAACTTGACCATTGTAGGTGGTGGTATGCAAACCAGGGCATAATATCGCGTGAATTCTGTAGTGGGCCGTAAATATTCCCATTGCGTGATCTTTCATTGGGTACTCGGGTTATTGAATAACAAATTTAGTGTATTTGGTGATGTCTTCAAGAAGTGTATCATCAATAGCTCATTACTAGATTCAACGTAAAGTCAAAAGACTTGGTTTGTGATTTCTAGCAAATCACATCGCATCCTTCTTTTTCCCCCCCTGTAATAATGTCAGGATGTGAAACAGGAAACTGATTGTAAAGTTAACGAATATGTTAGTGAATTGTTAGACACCACCTCTCATTCTTCACCCACCGCAAAGTGCTCTCAGATTTGCATACATTTCTTAATATAGTGTCTAATCTAACTCCCGATTTTAATATTTGAAAATTTTACCGTAAAGTTATGATATCTAACTTGCTGATAACGTTTTTATAAGTCATCCATGGCTAATTTTAAAAGAAGCTACACCAATCAAATAGCAAGGAGAGCCATAGTAATATACTGACAGATTAGCTGCGTATACTGATCTGTTTAAAGTCATTAATGGTTGGGAATGTTCCATCTCTTATTCCAAAGTATAGCTTTGTTCAGATATTTGAGAATTGAGTAGAGAAATTGAACCTGTCAACTTGGAAAATTCTTGACTTTAAGAAAACAATGGCATATTAATTTTTAAACAGTATTTCTGGTCTTAAGCTTTATGTTAAAAGAAATAATCATTTCTGCTGATTTGGGAAAATTTACAGATAGCCACAATGGCTGAAAACGGTGATAATGAAAAAATGGCTGCCCTGGAAGCCAAAATCTGTCATCAAATCGAGGTATGATTCTTGTGCTATTAAACTGCAAAAATAAGTTCCTTAAAGGGAAATTTAGGGCCTGAAAATAACAAGAAGGATATTTAATTCAATACATGTCTTGTCTTTGATTTTTAGAATTAGATGAATGTACATTATTATACAGTTTCATTTGGGTGAAGCCAGGTTAGGAAACCCAAGAATTACAAAAATTTCAAAACGTAACATTATGGACTGGTGTTACTTAACCATTTTTACTGGGGATAATAATGGTATCCTCCTCATAGGGTGGTAATCTTACCCTTTTTAAGTAACCAAGGTTAAAAGCCTTTGATATGGGTTTGGGTTTGTACTTCAGTGATAGATTGCTTGCCTAGCATGTGTGAAGCACTGGGTTCGAATCACAGCACCACATATAAATAAATAAAATAAAAGCCCATTACAACTGAAAAAAAAAAAAAAGCCTTTGATACTTTGCTCCATACTCCCAATAATGTAATGGGGAGCTGTGGTGACTGGGGATTGAACTCAGGGGCACTCGACCACTGAGCCACACATCCCGGCCTTATTTTGTATTTTATTTAGAGATATGGTCTCACTGAGTTGCTTAGTGCCTTTCCATTGCAGAAGCTGGCTCTGAACTTGCGATCCTGCTTTTGCCTTCCCCTGCCTTCGCCTCCCAAGCTGCTGGGATTACAGCTGGGTGCCACTGTTGCCTATCTAATATAATTTTTTTAATGGACTTTAGAGCAATGTTAAGTTCACAGCAGTTTGTATGAAAATACAGAGATTTCTCAAACATTCCCCACCAGTGTGGTACATAACTAACACAATTTTTATTTCCTTCCTTTTCCTCACACCAATCATGGGATGTGTTTGGGGGAATAAATTTTTTTATGCCGTCAATATTTTATTATTCATTTCCCCTCCTTAATATGTAGGATCTTTCTAAATTTTAACAGTTTTATGATTTTTTGTTTTGTTTGGCACAGTAGATTGAACCAGGGTCTCAATGCAGGCTAGGCAAATGCTGTACCACTGAGCTACATCCCAGCCTTTGTAAATTTTGATTTTTGAGATGAAGAGTTTTCTTGTGTTGCTCTGGCTGGACTTTAATTTGTAATCTTTCTGCCTCAGTCTTCCCATTAGCTGGAATTAAGGCATGTGCCATTGTGCCTGTCATGCATATTCTTATGTGAATCTTAGTAGACATGCTTACTGATTACTGTTAAGATAAAATTCCTATTTTTAAAAAAGTTTTAATATTTCCAGTTAACATCTCTACCTATGTGATCATTTCTCTGTGTTTAGACCAATGCTAGGTTTTCTTGGTTTTTTAGAATTTTATCCAGTTGGGGGCGGGGGAGAATTTTAGTCAGTTTGTTAGGGGGGAAGTGCTATCTGTTTTTCATTTTGTTTCTTGGCTTTATAATGAGGTTGGCTTTTTTATGTTGTAATACATATGTACTTTTCTTTTTGTTTATACATGACAGTAGAGTGTTTTTTGTTTTTTTGGGGGGGGTACTGGGAATTGAACCACTGAGTTGCATCCCCAGCACTATTTTGTATTTTTATTTAGAGAAGGGTCTCAGTGAGCTGCTTAGCACCTCCTAAGCCACTGGGATTACAAGTGTGTGCCAAGACACCTTGCTAGAATGTATTTTGAGGTCTACATACATGGAGTCTAACTTTTTCCATTCTTGTGTACATGATGTGACATATATACTCTTTGTAATTTTTTAAGTTGTAGATGGACACAATGCATTTATTTATTTATTTTTAAAGGTTCTTTTTTTAGTTGTTGATAGACCTTTATTTTATTTATTTATACGCAGTGCTGAGAATTGAACATAGTGCCTCACACTTGCAGGCAGGTGCACTACTGCTGAGCCACAGCCCCAACTAAAGGTTTTTTTTTTTTAGTTGTAGTTGGACACAATACCTTTATTTTACTTTATTTATTTTTATGTGGTACTGAGGATCGAACCCAGTGCCTCACACATGCTAGGCAAGCATTTTACCACTGAACTACAACCCCAGCCCACTTTTCGTAATTTTTCTAATGTTGTTATTTTTCTATAGCTGTTCACTTTTTTCCCCACCATTCCCCTTAGTTTATAAGAACCTTAAACTACTTTTTCTCTCATGCTACTTTTGACATTCCAAATAGCCATAACTGGGTATTTTTTTTGTTGTTGTTTGGTTTGGTACCAGGGATTAAACCCAGGGGTGTCCCACCTTTTTTATAAATATATATATAATTTTTTTTTTTAGTTGTAGGTGTACATAATACCTTTATTTATTTTTATGTGGTGCTGAGGATCCAGCCTAGTGCCTCACATATGCAAAGCAGGCACTCTGCCACTGAGCCACAACCCCAGCCAGTAATTGATACTTTAATTTTCTTTTTTATTAATTTGTATTATAAACATTTCATTATTGTAAATTTAGGAAGAATGGTTGTTGCCTCTTTTAAGTTATGACATGCATTTTTAAAGAATGAAAGTTGGTAGTATAATGGTAGTTTAAAAAAAAATTCCAGGGTTGGATTAAGTATTATACAGTGTTCCAAAATCTAAAGTGTATTATGATTATCTTACAGTATTATTTTGGAGACTTCAATTTGCCACGAGACAAATTTTTAAAGGAACAGATCAAATTGGATGAAGGCTGGGTACCTTTGGAAATAATGATAAAATTCAACAGGTAAAAAAACCCTTTTTGGTTTGTTTGCATTTTGGAGATTGAACCTAGAGCCTCCTACATGCTAGGCAAGCCCTCTATCACTGAGCTGTTCCCTCAGCCCTAATGCCTTTTAAAAGTCATCTAGGTTCTCTGTTAGTAATGAGTGCTTCTACTAAATCTTAACGTTGTTATATATATATTCTTCAGGTTAAACCGCCTAACAACAGATTTTAATGTAATAGTGAAAGCTTTGAGCAAATCTAAGGCAGAACTTATGGAAATCAGTGAAGACAAAACTAAAATCAGAAGATCTCCAAGCAAACCCCTCCCAGAAGTGACCGATGAGTATAAAAATGATGTAAAAAACAGATCTGTTTATATTGTAAGTGGGTCTTAATGCATTTAATATAATACATTTATTTAGGAAGAAAACAGTGGTGTGGATAAGGGCTCAAGATTCAGTTGCCTCACTTACTGTATGTCCTTTGGCAGTGTTCTTAACCTCTCTCTACACCTTATTTTCATAAATATGGATAATATTTTCTACCTAATTGAAATATTGAGAGTTAAATTAAAAAATCATACATTCGATAAAATCTTTGACATATTCTAAGTGCCCAGTGCATATCATCAACTATTCTTACTTGTCAACACCTAAAATCTACAGCAATTTTCTTTAGTATGTTGATTTTAAATACTTTATTCTGTAAATTTTCAGAAAGTTACAGAAGTAGCTTGAACAGTATAAAGTATAATGTACGATTATTGAAATTTAGCAGTACTTAACACATGAATAATGGTGGTTTTTTTTTTTTCCCTCTGCAAACTTAAAACCTATATCAGGTGAATCACTTTCATTGCACTGAGTAAGGCTGTTAAATGATTGAGACAGGAAGAGAAAGAGATAATGTGTATCCTTGCTTCATTACCAATCAGAATTTGGGGGGAATTGTTCACTTTTCACAGAAAGGCTTCCCAACTGATGCAACCCTTGATGACATAAAAGAATGGCTAGAAGATAAAGGTCAAGTGCTGAATATTCAAATGAGAAGAACATTGCACAAAGCTTTTAAGGTATGATTGATTGTATGATGATAAGACTTCTAGTTGTAAATATATGGGGCATAACTTTAAAAGAAATCTTTTCTTCCCTTTTTTTTTTTAGGGATCAATATTTGCTGTGTTTGATAGCATTGACTCTGCTAAGAAGTTTGTAGAGACCCCTGGACAAAAGTACAAAGACACAGATCTGTTAATACTTTTTAAGTACGTAATTTCACTCTTTTTTCTTCTGGCTTCTCGGTTATTTAGAATTGATTGACAAACTGGGATAAGGATCATAACTAAAGTCCCCAGTTAATATTTGGTATTCTTGGGAATACTTTGAGAAATGCCTAAATTTTTTTCAGTGAGAAGTACACTAGTCCTTTCAGAGTATAAGACAGTGTTTATTAGTACCTTTTCATTATTAGAAACTAATAAGGAAAGTTAACTTTTAGTACTTACTTTGCATCTAAAATTTATAATCAGGCTGAATACTAAAGTTGGACTTTTTGTGTGGGTGAAGAGTAAATCACTGTTCTTATATTTAATAGTTTGTATAAAAATGTTTTTATAAGGAACAAAGGATAGAGACTTGAATCACGTTCTTGTGTATGTGCGCATGTCTTTAAAATGAGGATGAACCAGGGCATTTTCATGATAAAGTTGTAGGGCCATAGTGCCTTACTTTTGCATTACATAGTCTTCTAAATGCTGGTGTTAAACCTGATTGACTGAGATCCACTGTGATAAAGCATACTATCAGTGTTACATAGTCAAAATTAAATTTTTAACATGATTTTCATAATTGCTGGGTGGTGTTTGGGGATACTGGGATTTCAGGTTTTTCGCCTTTTGTGAAATTAACACTACAGAAAACTGTGAAACATTATTTACATGACTTCTGATCTTTTTTTCTATTCATGGAGGGATAAGTGAAAATCAACACAAGAGTGGGATATTGGGTTTCTTTGGGAGTCATGAAATGTCTAAAATTAGTGATGGTTGTAGAATTCTGAGTATGCTACTAAATCATTGAAGGTACACTTTAAAAGGGTGAATTTTATCATAGTAAAGCTGTTATTAAAAGAAAAAAACCTTCCTGTACATATTTTGAATTTTTAGATGATTACCTTGATAGAAAATGTGATATTCCTTGCTGTGCCATGTCTTAAGTCATTCAAAATAATTTACAGTCTTACCTTTGTTCTCATGAACTTAGTCTTTGTGTTATGTTCTTTAGGGAAGATTACTTTGCAAAAAAAAATGAAGAAAGAAAGCAAAATAAAGTAGAAGCTAAGTTAAGAGCTAAACAGTAAGTATGTTGAAGTATGACATATCTGAATTACTTAAAGCTTTAAAATAGGCTTGAAACACAGTTTAAGGTGTCTTATTATATTGGAGGCCATATTACATTGTAGTCTAGCATTGGATAATCAGAAAAACCTAAGGACCGGCTTTGGTAATCAAGTAGCTTAGTGGTCATGATTAGGTTATTTATTTTTAATTTTCTTATTATAGTGGGTGGGAAAATTATAATTAAATCATGTTTATTTGTAGAGAGCAAGAAGAAAAACAAAAGTTAGCAGAAGATGCTGAAATGGTAAGTGTATAGTACTGATATTTAATATATCTACTAGTAAGAATAACTTTTAAAAGTCTTGAAAACTGTGTATATGTGTGTGGTGCTGGGGATTTAACCCAGGACATTGCACAATCTAAGCTCATGCTCTGCTACTGAGTAACCCACCATGTCTGAGGCTTTTTTTAAAGAAAATATGTTTTGGTTATCATTAAAGTGATATAGAAATAATATTACCTAAAATTACTGTCCTGAGTTTAATAATCGGATTTATATAGTTCGCAGTTAAATGTCACTTATAGAAGAAATTAAATTAAAATCAGAAGCAATTTTAAAGAATAACAAAGGAAAATACACTTAAACTACATTAAAATAGCATTTTGGTTTCTGTTGTAGGCATAGAGTGGTTTGAGCCATTTCTGATATGTGGGTAAGAAACTTTTTTGATTGCCTTTTGTATTTCTTTAGAAATCTCTAGAAGAAAAGATTGGATGTTTGCTGAAATTTTCAGGTGACTTAGATGATCAGACCTGTAGAGAAGATCTGCACATCCTCTTTTCAAGTCACGGTGAAATAAAATGGATAGACTTTGTCAGAGGAGCAAAAGAGGTTTGGAAATATTTATATACTTTTTGGTGCTCAGTTTTAAAGTCCATAGAAGATAAAGTTAATAGAAAACAATTTTTAAATTGTGTTGATTAAAATACTTAAATGATTTATTTTTTGTTTTGTTATTCCTATCAGTGATGTTATTTATATCTGATTTTTTTTTCTGAATAGCTTTTGGTTCAGTAAAATTCATTGAATTAGTAATGGCATAGAAGAATTACAGGGTAGGAAAAAGTATGAACAAAAAATTTAATTAGGGGACAACAAACTAAGGGTGTGATTTTTATTTTCTGTACTTGGTTAGGGAATTATTCTCTTTAAAGAAAAAGCCAAGGAAGCACTGGAGAAAGCCAAAGATGCAAACAATGGTAACCTACAGTTAAGGAACAAAGAAGTGACTTGGGAAGTACTCGAAGGAGAGGTGGAAAAAACAGCTTTGAAAAAAATCATAGAGGACCAACAGGAATCCCTAAACAAATGGAAGTCGAAAGGTTATTTATTCTGATATTTCCTTTAACAGTTTGGTTATTTTACTTATTTTAGTCAGTGTTCAAAAACACAACAGACTTAAATTATTTTCTTTACCAAGTTCTCAATTATGCCTCTACAGGTCGCAGATTTAAAGGAAAAGGAAAGGGTAATAAAGCTGCCCAGCCTGGGTCTAAAGGAAAAGTACAGTTTCAGGGCAAAAAAACGAAATTTGATAGTGATGATGACCGTGATGAAAATGGTGCAGCAGGTAATTTTTTTCTAAGTCCTTTGGAAGTTCCATGAGAAATGTGTACTTTATGACAAGTTACTTGTCAGAGATGTGGTTTTTAACTTCTGTATGAGTGACATTTTTGAATTATGGTGTAACTCAGTCATGCTGTTTTACAAGTATGAAATAGGCTAGGACATTTTATTAATAATTATGCTCAGCATTAAAACAGAGCAGTTGAATTTATTAAAAATTTCTTTTAATTATTTAGGAACAGTGAAAAGAGCAAGAGAAGAGACAGACAAAGAAGAGCCTGCATCAAAGCAACAGAAAACAGAAAATGGTGCCGGAGACCAGTAATTTAGTAAATACATTTTTTTTTTTTTTTTTTTTAATTCATTGTAGTTAGGTTTTAAGCTGCTTTTTGTCTTTGGAGGCTTCTAAAAAGAAAACCGAATTAGGTCCACTTCAATGTCCACCTGTAAAAAGAAAAATTTTTTTGTTGTTTAACTTGTCTTTTTTTTTTGTTATCAAAGTGAGGGTTTTTTTTTTGTTTTTGTTTTTGTTTTTTTTTAAATGTATAGTTCTGTTTGTGTTCAGAGGATTCAAATATCAAATGGAAGATTCTTCCACTCAATTGCCTTTGTAATATGAAAATGTATTAGTACAAACTAATAAAATATATGCTATATAAAAAAGAACAAAAACTTGTTATTTTTCCTTTTTGTATCCACAAAATGTTTGAGAAAGAACTTAAAAATTTTTGAGTATTGGCTGTTGGTTATGGGCCCTTCCCACAGTTAATTTATTTCTTAGGCTGGCTTTCTGTATTTACCCAAGCAACTTATATAACAGTGCAAACAATTACTTACTACAAAGGTTTTTCCCTTCACTCTGTTGGTCTTTCTAGCCATCATCTTTCCTTCTTGCAGTGCTGGGGATCAAAGCCGGGGCCTCATGCATGCTAGGCATTCACTCTATCTGATTGAGCCATTGAGCTATACTCCTAGCCCTTCAAAGTTTTTCAATACTGTATGTAGATAGGACTGAATCAAGAGACTTACTGATTTCTTTTTATGAAAGTTGTATAGTGCTGGCAGGTCATATCGAAGTTCTAAAAAACAACAGGTAAGGATAAACATAACATTTCCAAACATTTACCACCCTTAACTATAAGCAAAACTAAGAAAGTTCCAAATGATGGTAAGCCTAATGACACGTTACTTTAACTTCTCCATGTACTGAATTGATATTTCCCCAAGAGTGACATGGCGAACTGGCCAAGGCATTTCTGGTGTTGTAACCCATTTGTACCACAATTTCATGTTAAAGGGGAAAGGTTAAAGAAATAACAAGTGGAAAATAAATATAGTTTCGTGGTAATCTATAGATGACTGGGGCTGGGATTGTGGCTCAGCAGTAGAGCGCTCGCCTAGCACAGGCAGGACCCGGGTTTGATCCTCAGCACCACATAAAAATAAAGGCATTGTGTTGTGTCCATCTACACCTAAAAAAAAAAAAAAAAATCTATAGATGACTTAAGTCATCTCATAATGATGATGCTTAATTCAAAGTTTTCTTGTCTAGATTTTAGTAATGGCAATAAGTTGATATTTTTCTACTAATTTCTAAAGTACTCATATATTTTTCATATTCTAAATAATTTAAATTGTACTCTTTACTACTGATCTGTTTTAGAAGGATGGGAATCAGTTACCTATCCTTCATATTTTCCAACACATTTTAACCCTAGAGTCCGCTCTTTTGAGTTTTAATGTGCAGTCAAAGCACTTGGGGATCTCATTGAAATGCAGATTCTAACTCAGTGGATCCTGAAATTTTCTTTAGCTTTCAGGGATGTCAGTGCTGAGGGTCTGAACACCAGGTGTGGAGCAGCAATGCTATGGTATATTAAAATACTGTGGCATAGGGGCTGGGGGTAGAGCGCCTGCCTCACATGTGTGAGGCACTGAGTGATCCTCAGCACCACATAAAAATAAATATATTGTATCCACCTACAACTAAATATATGTTACTATTTCAAAAATGCTCTATATTGCAATATCTTAAAACTTCATGAGGGACAATAATACCGAATATAGTAGGAAGAATGATCTTTTAATTATTCCATTACTAATTATAAACAGTAACATACCTAGTTAGATATTTTAATACCACAGGACCAAATTCATGGTAAGTTTATTATTAGGTAAAAAACATGTTTCACTGAACTTTTATTTTGTGCTGGGGAGCCAACTAAGGGCTCTGCAGATGCTGGGCAAGAACTCTACCATTGCACCCAATGTAGTGAAAAATGTTATCAAAACAGCTGAGCCAACCTCCTTGGCAACTTTTCTCAAAAAGGGATGGAGATGTAGCTCTGTGGTACTGGGTTCAAGCCCCAGTATTGCCAAAAAAAGAAGCATGAGCTCATGGTATAGATGTTTATAATCTATCTCCCACCAGAAAGAAAAAGGTCAATGTTATCTTACTCTATGTAATTAGAAAATTAAAAAAAAAAAAGTTAACTAGGAACAACCTGGTGGCAATTTCCACAAGTGGATTTCAAAAATTGGTTTTATCAACTCCAAGCCCATGTTTTTACCCACTGGATGATATAGTCTGTCTGGGCCTGGAGTTACAAATTACCTGAGGTCTAATAGAAATTTTCAGTAAAATGGATAAACTGTGACAAACAAAATCAATTACCAATCATTCATATTTTTACACACTGAAAAACATTCTATAGTATATGTCCTTAGCACCTGAATAAAAATTTTGGTTAGGTTATTGCATGTTGGTCCTTTTGGATAATTAGGGTTAAGATTCATCTTACCTGCAATGATATCTATCTTGATTTTCCATTCTGCAGCTTTCTTTTGAACATGCTAAACATAAATAACATTTTTATGTGAGCTTATTTTTAAGTAAGTTTTTAAAAACTGCTTGTTATTAATATTAGATTAAATTTTAAGCTTAAAATTTCATTAGAAATTAGACTGAAAAGTTTCAACTAGATGAATATTTTGAAAATCAGTAATTAAGTCATTTCAATATATTTAACAATCAGCCAAATTAGATAAATTCAAGTGAAAAACTTTAAGAAAAGCATCAGAATACATAATACACTCATGATTTCTCATCATTGTCTCATCAATATAACTACTTACCCTGGAAACTATTCAGCAGAGAGGTCCATGTCCATGGGCATTCAGTGGCAGTATGGCATAGTAGTTCAGAGCATAGTCTCTAGAACCAGGCTGCTTGCATATAAACTACAGAACTACTACTTGCTAGCTATATAACCCTGAGCAAATTGCTCATTCTGTGCCTCAGTTTCCTCATTTGTTAACGAGGCTAGTGTTTTTTTGTTTTGTTTTTGTACTTGGGATTGGACGCAGGGATGCTGAAGCACTGAGCAACATACCCAGCCCTTTTTTACATTTTATTTAGAGGCAGGGTCTAAGCTGCTTGAGGTTAGTGTTTTGAACTGTAACAGATGTGTTAGAGCTTTATAGGTCTAAAATTCTTGAACCACTTCACAAAGAATTATTAATTTTTAGTTACTAATTTACTATTTAAAACTGCTTTATTCAATTAAGGCTTTTCTGGACACAATATGTACTGGCATTTGCTTTCATATATTGATTGAGATTTACCAGTAGATATGATATATTCTGTTGACTGCTTACATGTACCACTGTTCATTGTCAGCAGTGTATTTCTGCTTGGCTGTTGGATGCTGTACTTTTAAAAAAGGTTATTATGGGCTAAGGTTGTGGCTCAGTGGTAGAACGTGCGCCAAGCATGAGTGAGGCAGTGAGTTTGATTCTAGCACCACATAAAATAAAAAAGTATGGGGCTGGGATTGTGGCTCAGTGGTAGAGCACTCGCCTAGCACATGTGAGACCCTGGGTTTGACCCTCAGCACCACATAAAAATAAAAAATAAAATTAAAAAATATATTTTTTAAGTAAATAAAATAAAGGTATCGTGTACATCTTACAACTAAAAAAAATTTTTTTTTGAAAATGGGGGGAGCTGGGGTTGTCACTCAGCAGTAGAGCACATGTGCAAGACCCTGGGTTCGATCCTCAGCACCATGTAAAAATAAATAAAATAAAGGCATTGTGTTCAACTACAACTAAAAAATAAATATTTTTTAAAGAAGGGTTATTAGATTACCATGTCTCTAGAATTTTTTATTTTCAACTGGGTTCTTATGCACTGTTCATGACTAAAATATTTTTCCTACAAGGCTATTTTAAAATCTCTTCATAGAAACTATTTAAATAATAACAGCCAACACACAGCAATTAGATATGCAAGTGCTTTGTAAATAGTAACTCATTTAATGTTCATAATTATACCAATTATAGCATACTGAGTTCTTTACACCAAAGAGTATAGGTCAGCATAGTTGAGAAAACAAGATCAAGTGGCTTTACCAAAAACATACTTAAGATGCAGCAGAACTTAGATTTGAATCCAGTCCAATCTGGTTCCAGAGTCTCAGTTTTTTCTTTTTTCTTTTTTTATATATTTTTTCAGTTGTTGATAGACCTTTTTTATTTTATTCATTTATTTATATGTGGTGCTGAGAATCGAACCCAGTGCCTCACACACATCAGGCAAGCGCTCTACAACTGAGCCACAATCGCAGCCCCTCAGTTCTTTTTTTTTTTTTTTTTAAAGAGAGTGAGAGAGAGAATTTTTTTTTTTTAATGTTTACTTTTTAGTTTTTGGCGGATACAACATCTTTGTTTGTATGTGGTGCTGAGGATCAAACCCGGGCCGCATGCATGCCAGGCGAGCACGCTACTGCTTGAGCCACATCCCCAGCCCCCCTCAGTTCTTTCTTAATCACTAAGTTATATTGACAAGGAAAAAGGTACTGCCCCTCCCCCTAATTTCTGTAATACATCTTTCACACCCCCACATTATGTATTGGCAAAAAGAATGGTGAAATATGTGGTTTCTGAACTCAGAATTCTTTTGCTTGAGGCTTACCATTTTTGAAACTAGTTATACCATACTTCTCTTTTAACTACATGAGTCCCCACAGTGACACTGGGAGAAGAGGCATTAATTAACCAGAACTTACCCAGGCAAACCAGAACATATGGTAATCCTAGTTATACCATACTTCTCCTGAATTGTAGTACCTTTGCTAGTAACAGTCCTGTTTGAACAAATCTTTGATGAAAGAAGGTAGTCATAAATAATAGCTAATTAAAGGGAAAATTTAGTTACTAAGAGCTAAATGTCAAAAGGTCAGGAGAAACAGGCACTGTGGTAATTTAGCATCCACAGCAAGTCCTTAAAACACAATTTTTTAAAAAATGACCTAAAATATCATGGTGATGTGAACTTACCTCTCTAGTTGAAGATTTGTGTAAAGAATATACTGCTGTTCTTGCCATTTCCAAAGCAGTCTTTAGAAAAGCCATATCTGTTCCTATGAAAAGGAAAAAAAAAAAAACTCATTTACATTTTGTACCTTTTATCAAAGCAGAAGATTAGACAAATAGAATTTAGAAACTTTTTCCTAAACTCCAAAACAGGCACTTCAAATTCTTTCTGCATCAAGTCAGGGTACAAATAAATATCAGAATATTTTGTTAAAGTTGATAAAATAAAACCAGAATTATATTGTCTTGGCTAAAAAATAAAGCTAAAGTAAAATTGTAATATTATATCCCATTCTAATGAGTCAAAATCCACAATCATCTTGGTAGGGTAGGGGTACTTTTTAAAGTATGCATGTGTTTTCCTTCTCTTATTGATTTCCTACCCTCCTTGCTCAAAGTACACACAAAATTAATAGCTACAGTGAGTCACTGTTACCAATGAGCACATTCTGAAACATTCATGTGTGTTTAAACATTAAAAACAGGTTTGAGGGCTGGGGATGTGGCTCAAACGGTAGCACACTCGCCTGGCATGCATGTGGCCCGAGTTCGATCCTCAGCACCAAGATACAAAGATGTTGTGTCCGCCGAAAACTAAAAAATAAATATTAAAAAATTCTCTCTCTCTTAAAAAAAAAAAAAAAAAAAAAGATTTTGAAGTAGACAATATAAACTGTGCCTGATCTTCTCACCTACAGAAACTGTGAGTTAATCCACATGTGTTTGAGATAATGCATATTAAAAAAAAAAAAAAAGCCAGGTTTGAGTGCTGGGGCTATGGCTCAGCAGTAGCGCACTTGCCTGGCATGTGTGAGGCACTGGATTTGATTCTAAGCACCGCATGTAAATAAATTTAAAAAGGTCTGTATTAACAACTAAAAAAAAATATATTAAAAAGAAAAAAAAACAGGTTTGAGTGGCTGGGGTTATAGCTCAGTGATAAGAATGTGTGTTTAGGGCTGGGGTTGTGGCTCAGCAGTAGAGCACTGGGTTCGATTCTCAACCACATAGAAATAAATAAATAAAATAAAGGTATTTGTCCAACTACAACTAAAAAATACACATTAAAAAAAAAAAAAAAACAACACCAGAATGTGTGTTTAGCATTGGTGAAGTTTTGTGATCAATTCCCAGCACTACCCCTGAAAAAAAAAAAAGGCAGATTCAAAAAGTACAAAATCCTTTATAAGTTTCGTAATCATTTATAAGGGCCAGACAAATCATCCCAAATATTAATCATAAATGATGAAAATTTACTTAATACAAATTTGTAAAAATAAAGATTAAAAATTCAATTCCTAAGTAAACTGAAATTTAAGTTATAATACCTATACAGGTAGAAGATTGGTTTATTTAATGATCAATGATAAAATCACTTAATCCAGTTAATAGTAAAATGTTCTTTAAAACTTGCTTTCCTATGAATACACTAGTACATCTAATTCTTGTTACTAACCTTTATTATTTTTGGTCCCAAACGGAGGATTCATTATTACTGTATCAAAAGACTTAGACATTCTGTTGGATAATGAGCATACATCACATTGAATTATATCCACATTTGTTAACTCAAACTCTTCCACATTCCTATTAAATATTTCCAATGCATCTTCATCTATGTCAAATCCAACACACAACCTATAAGTGCAAAACACAAAGAGTGGCATCTTACATCTCCCAAAACAAAACAAAAAGTTTTTACTTATGCTTTTTAACTCAGTTGACAAAAGTTAAGAATGGGTGTAGCTTTTCAACAACATGATTTCCCAATGCAGCCAGGGTTGGAAACTCAGATGTATATAAAAGGGACTGCTGCTCTTATACTTTTAAAAAAAATTATTCTAATTAGTTATACGTGATAGAAGAATGCATTTTGACACACTGTACACAAATGGAGCACAACTTCTCCTTCCTCTGGCTGAACATGGTGCAGAGTCACAGAGGTAGCGTAATCATACATATATATAGGATAATAATGTCCATCTCACTCCACCGTCCTCCCTAACCCCATACCCTTTCCCCTCCCCTCTGCACAATCCAAAGTTTGCTGTTATACTTTTTATTTATTTATTTTTTGGTACTGGGGATTGAAGACAGGATGCTCAACCACTGAGACACATCCCCAGCCCTTTTTAGAATTTTGAGACAGGGTCTAAGTTGCTGAGGACCTCACTAAATTGCTGAGGCTGGCATTGAACTTGCAATCCTCCTGTCTTAGCCTCCTGAGCCTCTGGGATTCAACCATACTGCCTATCTTTTATTTACATAAATATATATAGTTTTTGATAATTCTGTACATTCAAAATATACTCAGTATTAGATTACTGGTCCCCCATCTCATTGTTTAGAGTCCCATGAATATAATTCAGTTCATCCTATTTACACTTATTAAGGCTGCCCCATACCCAAATAGTATAAGTTGGATCACTTACCCTGCTCCTAACATTGCAGTTCCGATGCTAAGCACTCCACAACCACATCCTAGGTCTGCAACCACTTTATTTTCAATGTCATCATATGTGTTATGTATTGTATAAAGCATACATGCTAAAGAACAATTTTAAAACATATTAGGGAATAAGTAGGGTATGACTAATATTTAATTTATACAAACCAGTGTACCATGTTATTAAAAAAAAAAAAGATTACTTGGTATGTAGTAAAAAGCACCACAAAGGAGGATAACACCTATTAGAGGAACCCAAAAAACTATCTCTGGTGACAATGCCAAGAATGACAAAACTGTCACTAGTATCTCAAGTAAAATGAGAAAAATAAAGTCAAAATGCTTTATTTTTCCTCAGCCACCTATTCAAAACATTGTTCTGTGTGTGTATGTGTATCTATTAGTTTTTTCTTTGATGCTGAAGTAGTTTATATAAAAGAATAGTACAAGTAAATAGGGTTATAAATATCCTTCCTTGTCAAAATGTAAGTTTGGCAGCCCTGTATCAGTCAGCTTTAAAAGTTTACTAATGTGGGAAGACTACAAGTCTAGGAACCAGTAATATCAAACAAGCATTAGCATTAAAGGGGCACAGAACTTTTTTGTAAAGTTTGTCATTAGAACTCAGGTATCATAATCTCCTACATCCTATATATATATGTGTGTGTGTATATGTGTGTGTAGGTTAAGCATGAATAATACCACTTATATCTCTCTGTGGATATCTGACCTCAGCAAAGGCTACTGGCAATCCCTAATGGCTGAGGTTCCAGAGATTTTATTAAAAACACAATTATAGGGCTATTTCAGACTGAATGTGTAATTACTGATGTGGGTGTGATTATTTTGACGCTGGTATCTGAAAAGAAGCACACCTGTGTGCATGCTACAAACTAAGTATGAAATAACTTATTTTTAAAAAATTGTATTTCACAAAAAAACCTAAAACCCTACAGAAGACTATAAGAAGTCATTATAAACTGAGAAAACTGATCTTAACCTAGACACAGTTTAAATTAATTTGTATTGGCATATTATAATTTTACATAATAGTGGGATTCATTTTGACATATTTACATGCACAAAATGAAGAAATTTGGTCAATTTCATTCCCCAGTTTTTCACAAAAGTTTTGTGTGGATTTTTGGTTGGGACTACGCCAACATCTTAGAGTTAACTGCAGGTATGTATATATTCTTTATCCTTCTCATTGGCAGCTTAGAAACAACTATTTTGGAACTGGAAAATAGTCCCCCTTGCAAGTGTTCCCAGGAAATTAATTTTCCTAAGGTTTCCCCACCACTTTATTATATTTATTAAATATGGATCTTTCTATATTCCCTCCTGTACTCTATGTCAATTGCTGGCATCAAGAAACAGTGCTAATTCTCGAGTAATGTGTTAAAACTAAAACGTGTCCTCATCTCTTTATACAGCCATACTCTGATTTTGCTAAATTCAAGTCCTTCCACTACCAACTCTAGTATTCATTTGTAGGGCAGAGGATTGCATCAGAATCTTGCAATTCTAATCACTGACAATTCATTCTAAGAGGAAAATGATCCTTACTTAGCAAATATTTACTGAGCTCCTAACTAGTACAGAAACTTTTTTAGGCACTGGGAATTCGGGGGTGGGGGGGGGGGGGGGGGTGGTGGTGGATAAGACTAACAAATTCCTTTATGGGAGAAACAAACAGTGTTAAGAAGTACGCAGAAAACCAAACAGGAAAAAAGTGTGTGTGTGTTGGGACCGGCAGGAGACTGTCTTTAACTGCGGTGTAAAGGCCTCTCTAAAGCGATACGCGATCTTAAAGCGGAATTTCTCCAGACAGTCCCTAACCAAATTACGTTTCTTTTTTTCATCAAGGAGTAAGCATATAAGGCTAACCCCAGAAGCTAGGGCATGGTGAACCAGCCGCCCTACCTGCAATGTGCGGCCTGGTCGGATACTGTTCTAGAAGTAGCTTAGGCTTTTCGAATCCATCCACTTGTTGCAGGCGACTCTCTAGTTCCTTGAGCCTTAATTTCTTCCTCCCCCCCCCCCCCCTCTTACATGTGGACTTACAGGGTTCAACCACACCAGAATTGCAGGGAAATCTATCTAACCCGGATCTTTCCCCCCGCCTCACACTTTCTCAGAGTCACAAGCTGAGGGCGGGGCAGGAAACGCGGGACATAGGGCCAGCCTCCGACCCGCCTCCCGGGTGTCGCGCGCCGTCCTCCAGCCTCTGGGAGCCGGTGGCGATAGCGGGAGCGCGCGTGCAAGATGCCTGATGCAGCAGCGTCCCAGCACCTCGGGAAGCGAACGGCGCCGGAAGCGACACCACGCACACGCGCACGCCTCCGTCATCCGGCGTCGGGTTGCAATCTCTGCCCATCGTTGGGGTTCCGCTGGCGACCCGGCCTCTTCGGCCTCGGTAGAACCGAAGAACCACCTCAATTCACAGATCGCTAGTTAGCCCTCGCCTCTGTCGTGTGCTCAGAACCCTCAGGCTTTGCCTTGAGTACCTACCAGCCTCTAAGGATGTGGAAAGAGGGTGAAAGTGAAGCAGGACAGAGGGTAAAAGTCATAGTTACTTTGTGGTCCAGTGTGACCCTTTTGCTTGTTTTCTCCCAAGCTCCCTCTCAAAAAGCGGCAGTCTCCACTTCCGTTGCTTCCTTCGCCATTCACATGTCCTACTTTATTGCAGCGTTTCCCTCTTTTTAGGTCACCTGTGTCACTTATCTCAACCATCACAGGAGTGGTGATGTCATAGAAGCCAAAGAAAGTTTAAATGAAGGAATAAGGTCGTGGTATCTTTTGCAGGAAAGAGGTCAGGTGTCTCACAGAAGGAGCAGAAACCACGTTGTAGTGGATTGTGAAGAGAATGGAAGTTAGGAAGTAGAAGTTGTAAAGGTGAACAGTTCTTAAAAAGTGCACCCATGAAAAGGAGAGTGAAAATGGCTGACGCGTAGCAAGTTTGGGGAAAGGCTTTACTGGTGGTGTTAGTAGTGTGTGCTCGGGTGTGCTCGGGTTCAACTCAGAGCCTTGCACTTGCTAGGCAAGCGATCTACCACTGAGCTACACCACCAACATTATTAGAGTTTCTCTAAATATAGGAGAAGAAAGGAACATATCTAAATTCTAACAGAATAGGGACAATCGAAAGGGAGGGGATAATAGAAAGGGGACAATGGAGAGGACATTGGATGGAGCTGGGATTCTCAGATCCAGTGCTTAAATAAAAGGGTTGCCCCGCTAGTGGAGTGACCCTGAACCTTGTACAACCAGAGGAATGAGAAGCTGTGCTCCATATGTGTACTGTATGTCCCAAAAAGCCTATAAGGGATAATTCTTAGTAACCTATTTTCAGTGATGACAAAGCAACTTTAAAGGCCATTTTCACCAGATCTCTGATAGGGGTCCAAGGGCTCTCCTCAGCTTGTTTGAACTTTGGGTTAGCTGGTAAGAGGACCTGGTGGGACCTGGTGGGACCTGGTGTGGGCGCTGACAGAAGAATAGAGGAGTGAGTGGGTGAAGGGATTCCTTCAGTACCTGCTACCTCAGAAAAGAGGCAATGGTTTGAGGAAAGGTGGTTGTTTAGGTTTTTGATCTAGTGAGTGTAGAGGAGAAGTCAGGTTGTTCAGGTGGGGGAGACAGTGGAGGGGCTGGGGCAGAAGGTTGAGGGTGAGGACCTATTTGAGCCCGGCGATAGGGTGGAAATTCATCAGTAGGGTCAAAAGTAGTGGATGAGTCCGGAGGAGGAGATTGGGGATCAGTAGTTGTGGGTGTTGGTTTGCAAGCTAGAAAATTTTGCAGAGGTCTGCAAGAGGTGCAGAGAGCACAAGCAAGAAGAAAGCTTTGATATAGCAGCTTTTTACCCATTTTTTCGAATGCTCACAGTAATTGTAGAGATCCCTTAGAATGGAGGGATCCAGGGACCCAAAAGGGGGGCCCTCTGCTTTGGTTGTCTAAGGGATAAGTGGGCCAGGCCTGGGTGCTATATTTGATCAATTTTGGGGGTTTGATGTCTGGTGTCAAGGAGAGGGTTTTGAGGTTATCCAAGAGGCATTGTAGGGGAAACTGATTTATTGGCAAAAGGGGCGTCCCCGCTAGAGCCAAAAATCAGGAGTACCTTAGTGGCAGGTTTGAGCTGCAGAGATTTGTCGTCACCGAATCCTGACAGGCGAAGCTCTCGTCCTGGCCGGAGCCAGAGCTGTGGGAGCCGGAGCCCATGGGAGACCTTGGCCAAGGCTTTTCCGGACCCCTCCTGAGAGGCCGGAGACTCCCAGGGCCAGAAAGAGGGGAAAGAGAGAGACAGAGGAAGAGAGAGGAAGGGGAGGGTAAGCATCTCTCTGGTGGCCGAGTCTTGAAGATGTGAGGACTAGGATTTTAGGAGAGCCACCGAGACCATGAAGGTCTGGATGGACTGTGATGTTCAGTTCTCTGTTATGTGTCCTGGAGGTTACAGAGTCCTTTGAGGAAGACCTACAAAGCCTATGCTGGTAAACTACCAGCTGGGAAGGGAAGGGAATAATTTCAAACCCAGGAGTCTATTCTGCCCTAGGAAGGAGTCCCTGAGGGCCACCATAGCCTTAAAGGCTGTGGTGGGGTGTTTTCCTCCCTGCAGGTGGGCAAAGAGGTTTGCCGGACAATCAATGGTCAAATCCTCCTGACACCACCATTGGGTTTAGGACTCCAGGAAGGGGAAACTCACCAATTGAAGGCGGGTGGTGGATGGAGTTCTGGCGATCGAGAAAATGGGTTCAGGCCATCCGGTGAGTGGCACTTCCGAAGGAAGAGGGACCCAAAAGTGGGTTTTAACCCTCTCTCGGGTTTCGGCACCACTGAAAGGAAAGTGACCACAACATTCGGAGCAACCAAAAGATCTTTATTGCAGCAGTGCAACAAAGAGAAAAGAAAGAAGGAAAGAAGGAGAGAGAGACAGAGAGAGAGAGAGAAAAGAGAAGAGGAGAGATGAAGAGGGAGAGAGCAAGAGCAAGAGAGAGACAGAGAGCGTGCGCAAGAAAGACAAAGAGAGCAAGAGAGAGAGAGCAAGAGAGAGGGGGGCCTGGCAGGAGGGAGTTTTTATAGCCCAAATCTAATGGGGCCTCTGGGTCTGCAAGCTGCCTTGTTGGCCCAAGGGGGAGCTAAGTGTTCAGCCTTGAGTGGGGTTGAATGTTCAGACTTGAGGCAAACAGGTGATAAAGGACCAGATGGGGGGGGGGGGGTTGAGTGCGTGGGCTATCTTGCAGCCAACATCTGTTCAGCCTGCCCCTCAGACAACACAGTTCAGCCTGCTCTGCACCCAACATTATGAGGATTAAATGAGTTCGTACATATAAAGTTCTTAGTAGATAAAGGCAGTACACAAAGTTCTTTGTCATATAACAAACGCCCAATAAAATGTTAACTGTTTTTGCTCTTGGTGGTGTTTATTGATAGAATGGTGGTGGAGAAAGAGATAATTGAAGCTAGCCATATATTCAAAAGTAATGGGTCCCCCACTTTTTTTCTTTTGTTTATCCCAAAGATGCAGGTTGATTTGTTATTTTTTCCACATTTTTATTGGTGCATTATAGTTATACATAATGATGGGATTTGTTGTTACATATCTGCACATGCATACAATATAAGAATATAATTTGGCCAGTATTACTCTCCTGCATTTCCCCCCCTCCCTCCGCACCTTATAATTCTTTTGGAGGTTAATTGCAATTTAGAATCTTAAACTACACCAATGAATCAATAACTTATCATATTGTTACATTGCAATCCCTTAGTCTGTCTTGGTCTTTGAATAAATGTTTTACTCATACATGATTTGTAATATCATGTATTAGTCATTTGGGAAAAAAATTGGTTCACTGAATTTTGAAAGTATTCCATCATGTTTCAGAAAATCACATTTATTAATATCAATACTGATCTCCCCCAGAAAAGGCTTTAAATAGAGGGAAGACTGTTAAACTCAAGATGGAAGATATGTTTTCCAAAACATTAATACAGCTTGAGGTTTTTTTTTCATTGGCAAAAAATACAGTCTAGTGTTTTTCATGAAGTGACAGTTGTATTTATTCCACTTTTCAGAAAATGCCTGTCAAATAGCAAAACTGAAAAAAACATAGTTTGTCAGTCATGCTTTCAAATAAAATTGTGTTTCCTTAAAAAAAAAAAAGCCAACTCTAGTAAATGCTAAAGATTATACAGGCACACAACTTTTAGAATCGATCAAATTAATTAAATTATCAAATTTGCAGGATCCAAAACAAAAACTGGTTATGTTTCTACTCATTAGCATTTAGCAATCTGAAAAGTAAGAAAACAATTCTATTTACAATAGCTTCAAAAAGAATAAAATACTTAGGTATAAGTTTAGCCAAGGAAGTGAAAGACTTGTGCACTAAAATCTATAAAACATTGCCAAAAAAAAGAAGAAGAAGACATGAATAAATGGAAAGATATCCCATATTTATGAATTGGAAGAGAATATTAAGAGGCCATTACAACCCAAAGAACAGATTCGACACAATCCCTATCAAAATCCCATTTTTTTTTTTTTTTTTAGAAATGGAAACATTTGTCCCAAAATTTATATGGAATCCTTAAGAGATCTGAAATAGCTAAAACAGTTTTGAAAAAGAAGAACAAAGATTGAGGACTTATACTTTTCTAAATTCAAAACTTATTACAAAGCTACAATAATCAAATTAGTGCACTACTTGCATGAGGAGACATACATATATACCAATAGAATAGGGAGACCAGAAATAAACACTCATGTATTTGGTCAATTGATTTTTGACAAGGATGTCAAGACCATTCAATGGAGAAAGATGGTTTTTTTCAACAAATGGTGCTGGGAAAACTGGATAGCCACATGCAATAGAATGATACTGAATCTTTAACTTCCACCTCATGTAAAAGTTAACTCAAAATGATTGATGGGACTGGGGTTGTGGCTATGCACTGGGTTCGATTCTCAGCACCACATATAAATAAATTAATAAATAAAATAAAGATCCATTGACAATTTAAAAAATATTTTAAAAAGAATGGATTGATGACCTACAGTAAAAAGCCAAAAGTATAAAAATCTTTGAAGAAAACATAATGTTAAACCTTTATGAAATCGAAAATGGCACTATTTCATGAACACAAAACCAAAAGCATAAGTTACGAAAGAAAAAATAGGTAAATTTTATTTTATCAAAATGAACAACTTCTGTACACCAAAGGACACTATCAAAAGAGTGAAAAGACAACTCAAAGACTGGAAGAAAATTCTTGCAAATCACATGTAGTGCATATAAGTGATTGCTATCAAAATATGTAAAGAACTCCTGCAACTCAAAAACAAAAATACAACCTATATCCAAAATAGACAAGGAGATTCAATAGACATTTCTGCCAGGAAGATACACACATGGGCAATAAGCACATAAAAAGAATGCACAACTTCATCAAATAGAAATTAAAATCACAATAAACTAACACCCACTAGAATGGTTATTATCAATAAAATGGAAAATAACAAGTGTTGGAAAGGAAATGGAAAAACTGGAACTCTCATGCATGGCTGGATTATAAAATGCTGCAATTACTGTGAAAAACAGTTTGGTAGTTATTCATAAAGCTAAACAGTATTATCATATGATTTAGCAATCCTACTTCTATGTATCTACCCAAAAGAACTGAAAGCAGAACTCGAACATACCAACACCCGTAGCAGAATTATTCACAATAACCAAAAGGTGTAAACAACTTAAGTTGTGTATCACCAGATGGATGGATAAACAAATTGTGGTACTATATATACATAAAATAGAAATATTATTCTATTATAAGATGGAATGAAATTCATATACATGCTACAACATGGATAAATTTGTAAAATACTGTGCTAAGTGGAATAATAAACACAGAAGGACAGATATTTCCATTTATATGAAATACCTAGACTAGGTAAATACATAGAGACAAAGTAGAATAGAGGTAGTCAGGGTTGAGAGTGAGTGGGTTGGGGAATCTATAATTATTGTTTAATAAGTAGAGAGTTTCTGTTTGAAATGATGAAAAAGTTCTAGATATTGATGGTGATGATCATTGCATAACATTGTGAATGTACTTATGTAAGGGTAAAAGAAATTGAAGTTAAAGCGTAAAAAGGTAAAAGACCGGGTGTTGTAAAGTTTCTAAGCTGCAAGGTCTGAGTTAAAATGTAAAGGATTAGGTATTGTTAGGTTTCTATGCTACCTGCAAAACCTGAAATTTCTGTAGCTGTTAAGACAATGCTTGGAACTGCCCAGTAAATATTTCCCCTGACTACTTGGTTGTTTAATAACTGAAGGGCTCTGTGTAACTGGTCACGTAGTCCTCTAGGCCCTAAAACCAATCAGTTTGAATGTAACCCCCTCCTTAGGAATGACCTATCACTCCAGCCTGACCTGTTCCCGCCAATGAATGGGCTAATCATGTTTAGGAGTTGTTGTTCAATTTTCCCGCGCCTCATGATGATTTGTTCTGATGTATACAAAGCCCTCAGCCCTCCCCAAAAAGTGTATTTAAGCAGTGCTCAGCCCCTGCTCGGGGCTCTGGGCTGCTTTCCCTTCTTGAGTGGGCACGGAGCCCCAGCATGCTGGTTCAATAAATCCCCCTTCTGCCAATTGCATGAGTGGTCACTTGGTGGTCTCTTTCTCCGACGTTTCACGGGACCCTTATAAGACAACGACCCTCTCTGAGGCTCTAATGGTCCTCATAAATTCTGATGTTGGGGCCAGCAAAAAATGTAAACTACCATTAGTGTGATGCTTATCAGAGTTCTGTTATCTGTAACCCCCCTTTGTGTAACATTCTGGGCTATAAAGCTGGGCTGCAGGAAAGCTGGGGTGTGGTCTTGTTCCCGCCATTTTGGGAGGGAGAGGCAGCCCGGCCTGTGGAAATAATAAGCTTGCTTTAATTTGATTTTAATTGGAGTCAGTGGTCTTTTCTTGCGTCCTGGTCTAACACTTTTTCCTGGAGACTTCTAAGATACTTCAGTATATAACTGAAGTGCTTTATGGGTAATTACTAACTCATTACAAATATTAAGAGGGCTGGGGTTATGGCTCAGTGGTAGAGCACTCGCCTCGCATGTTCGAGACCCTGGGTTCGACCCTCAGCACCACATAAAAATAAATAAATAATACAGGGGCTGGGGATGTGGCTCAAGCGGTAGTGTGCTCGCCTGGCATGTGTGCGGCCCAGGTTCGATCCTCAGCACCACATACAAACAAGGATGTTGTGTCCACTGAAAACTAAAAAAATAAATAAATAAATGTTAAAATTCTCTCTCTCTTAAAAAATAAATAATACAATAAAGACATTAAAAAAATATTAAGAAGATGTGGGTTGGGGCTGTAGCTCAGTGGCAGAGTGCTTGCCTAGCATGTGTGAAGCACTGGATTCAATCCTTAACCCAACACAAAAATAAACAAAATAAAGGCATTCTGTCTATCTACAACTACAAAAAGCTTTTAAAAAAATATTAAGAAGATGTGTCCTTTTGGATTGAAATGCAATCAAATTAATATTTTTTTAATGTTTTATTGAGGCCATTTTAAAGTTAAACTGCTTATTTTTCTTCCAGTATTTAGCAGAGACAAGTACAATGACAACTAGATGACAACTGCTGTTGCATTGATTCATACCATATTAAAAGCAGTTTTATTCAGCAGTGCTTTTGCAAAATCAGTGCAAGTGTCAATGCTATTGTTTCAAGATAAATCACAAGATTAAGAAAGTTATTCGGGCTGGGGATGTGGCTCAAGTGGTAGCTCACTCGCCTGGCAT